ATGCCGCAGCTCGCCTTGCGTCATAGTTATCACAAAAATACTGAATTGTGGGCAAAACTTTTGCCCCAGCCGGGATTCGTGCCCGGAACGCTTACTTTCCGGGCAATTGTGCTACTATACACCACCGGGGTCCAAATCTACCATCGAGGCTGAGTTGGGGTGAAATGGAGCCCCGCTAGTGTAAGTGGTAGCACAATTGCCCGGAAATTAAGCGTTCCGGGCACGAATCCCGGCTGGGGCAAAAGTTTTGCCCACAATTCAGTATTTTTGTGATAACTCTCGCAAGGCGAGCTGCGGCATAAAGAAGCAGTTTTCCACTGAAGTAGATTAAATATTCTTCTCAGTGAAGTGAAATGTTTTGTTTTCAATTGCGAAATCTTCCAGATGTATCTCTCGTTGTCGGTGGTGAACGAGCAAGACTCTCCTCATCCGTCGCCCCGCCCTCCAAGCAATTCGTCTGCCCGCGGCGATTAGCCTCGCCACTCAATGGTCTACCTCATCATCAGCATCAGCCACACTACTCTGGGTGGTTTCAGATTCTTTCATGACATTTCCTAATCGATATCACCTAAGCTCTTAGCAGTTATTGTTCTTGTTTCATATCTACAGCGCATCAATTGTTAGTTCTAGTCGATGTACGAAGCCTAGTCGAAAAGGCTTTCGTGACGAACGGTATCACTTTACGGGATCACTTCTTATAGATTTCAAGTGTTTCAAAGTGCATAACTTTCAGTTTCACTTATTATAATTTTTGTTTGTTTGTTTGACCATGATAAGTGCAATGCCTTTATGACGTGCTTTATGAAAGCATATCAACCAAGGATCAGTTTGAGCCTTACTAGGCGGAAACTTTCAGACTTGTTGATGTTGTTAGTCGTTTCATGTTTTACAATGAAAACTGAATTGATGTTTTGTGGTTAGAACTGCCTCTTGACTTGATTCCACCAATGACGTTCAAAGGTGGATTTTACAATACGGTCGAAGGGCAGAAATCAGGATTGGGGTACCCGACAGGAGGCCCGTCGCGCAAGAAGGCAGAGTCGGCGGACGAGTCGCAGCGCGTGATGTGCGATGTAGGACGTACAATGGTACATTCTATTTAACTTGACGCGAAATCACTACAGTACGCGCTGCGACTCGTCCGCTGACTCTGCCTTGTTGCCGCGCGACGGGCCTCCTGTCAGGTACCCTCAAGTTAGAGATATTAGTGATGCACGAAAGAAGAAAAAACGAAAATGGCCGGAACCCGAGAAATGGACCCCTTCCTTGCCCGTTGATTTGCGCATTGATGCGACTCTCATCGGTGCTGCCCTCTTCAACGCTAACGCTCTCTCTCTGCTAAACGGCTAGAGACTCAGACACGACGCGAGAGGGGGCGTACCGGCCAATAGCGCGCCAATTGAGTCGCGTGGAGCGACGTGCGTGTCGGCTCGCAATAAGTAGGTCCGCCTTCTTCTCGGTTGGGTAAGTCTCCCTTTCTTTGACCCATCCTTATCGTGGATCCTCCTTTATTAACACTTACTGCACATGTAAAATCCATGTTATTGCGTAGATATTCTTTTTAGACGTCTGTTCATAGAACACTCACGTGACCAGAAACAGCATCAGCCTGTCATAGTTACGTTGGTTTGCGTGATCAATGTGGTAGGCGGATACAGGGGTGGAGGAACGCACGATGTACATAATACATTACTTTGAGCTTGACTCACTGAGGACGGAAATATTACTTAAAGTAAGAAGTTTTCCAAATTCTCTCTAGAAACTTCCGTTCACAAAATATTGATTCGAAATTTGCTTGGTCTCAGTGGCACACGCAGACATCCATGCAACTCAGTTCGTGATAAGGTGTCTCCCTTCAAACGAAAGGTGAGAAAACGTAGAAGCGATGGGTTTTCAGCAGACTAAGCTATTAGAGAACACTAACAATTCGCTGGCCAGGCTACCGAAATTTGTGTACTGAGAGGTTTTGCAGTTTGGAGGGCTATATTGCTAGGCTGCAACAAAGTCACTTGTGCAACCTTTTTGATGTTAAAGCTCGTAGCACACTCGCCTGGTAGGCGAGAGGTGCGGCTCGAATCCCGCTGGGGCGAAACTTTTGTTCATAACCCTGTGAAGTTTTGCTCATAACTCAGTGAACTCATCCTATTTTTTGTGTTTTTTTTTGTAAGGACAACTCATTCTTAACAACAAATCAAACA